CAAAACTAAAGTAACGAGCCAATTTTTTAAAATGTAAGGAGTAGAAAGTACAGATATTTGTGTAAAAATGTAAGGAGTAGAAGTAAAAGTTTGCCATAAAAAATAAGTAGTAAAGTAAAGTAAAAATATCAGAAAAATCTACTTGAGTACAGTTACTTCGTTACTTCCCATCTCTGGAGGTAAGTGAGACAATTTGCCGATGGAACAAGACAATTTACATTTAAAATAAGAAAAAACTATTTTATTGCCTTATTTCAAGTGAATATTATCTAATTTTCTTATTTGAAGAGTAAAAATACTCATTCCATTAGCAAATAATCTAATTTAACTGCTCAAATTAAGGCTAAATACGCCTGATTTAAGAATTTTTTACTTCTTTCTAGTTTTTGCAATGTAATATTACCCTTACAACATTTTGCTGCCTGTAGGCTTATGAGTAGCCTGAGCAAAATAAGTAAAATCAAAGAAGTAGCCTACCATGACTATGAAGCTGATCTCAGTGGGAAATTTCTCCTCTGCATTAATCCCTAACTATGTAGGGGCATTGATAGCCATCAGGGACTGACTGCAGGTCCACTGTTAGCACTGGAAAATAATCAAAATCTAGATAAGTAAAATTTTCTTAAATGAAGTGCATTTATTCTTGAATTGAGGAGGTAAGTGAGACAGTTTGCAAATAGAACAAGACGATTTACATTTAAAAAAAAAATAATAATAATCACATTGTCTTATTTCAAGTGCATATTATCTAATAATCTTATTTTAAGAGTAAAAATCCTCGTTCCATTGGCAGACCATCTTATTAACCTACTCAAATTAAGGGTAAATACACTTTATTTAAGACATTTTTATTTATTTTTAGAATATTTTTGTTGTGAGTTGCCTTGGCCTACCTGACATGTAACAACCATACCATGCATATTGCTTTAGGTTAATAGACTAGGCTATGCATGCTTCCCAAAAAAAAAAAAATATATATATATATATATTCCACCATCCCCCTTCTTTTTTTTTTCTTTTTTACAACTAGACTACTGACTAAACTTACCAAAAATAATTACTTTGGGTGAAATGGACACATAAAAATACAACAAATTATTTTTTAACTTTCTGTCAAGGGTTTTTTGTGAGTTTTTTTAGAATTGCTTTCTAATCTGTAGGTTTCTAACAGACATTTGCTGCAGATTTGGCTCATTTTCCATAATTACTCTAATGGAGGAAGTGATTCAGCATTTAAAGCAGCCTCACTCACAGAGTGGGATCCGTTTCAAAGGTTGATGGGGGTTTTTTTTGGCCAACTTTGTATCTTGAGCTATGATTTCTTTAATTGTCCATTTTGAGGGTCCAATTTGTCGTCATGCGTTTAACTTCCTGGCTGATGTGTTCGGATGTTCCTCACTGCAAAAACATCTAAAAAACGGCTCAAATGTTCTTAAAATAAGTGTATGTACCCTTAATTTAAGCAGATATATAATGTGATGTGCCACCAAAAGGAGAATTTCTATCCTTAACATAAAATAATTAGATATTTTACACATGAAATAAGATGACAGGATGTTTTTGTCTTATCTTAAATGTAAACCATCCTGTTCCGTTGGTAAATTTTCTTACTAGCCTACTCAAAACACAGGAAATTGGCTTAATTAAATATAATTTTTTTCATTAATTCAATAGTCAGCAAAACTACTGAAGAAATGGAAGGAAATGGTTAGGGCACAGAGCTTGGAATCCTGAGGTTCTGAGTTCGAGCCCCACTCCCACAGCCTGCCACTCTCGGTCTCTGAGCAAAGACCCTTAACCCCTAATTGCTCCCTGGGCACTGCACAATGGCTGCTCCCCAAGGGGATGGGTTAAAATGCAGAGGTGAATTTCTCCAATGTGAGATCAATAAAGTTTAATTATCTATTATTTATTTAAAACATCCCCTCAACAAGGTGTTGCTGCCTCTGTAGCTCCCAGTGATGATGGTGTTTTCAGGCTTGCTCCAAATGTACTAATGGTCTAACCTGACTCCGCCAGA